AGGTGTCCTTTCTGTAATCCTGATATTCTGGGAACTGGAGTTGTTATTAATAGAGGTGTTCATCTGTATGTTCTCCCTCGTAACTCCCTCATACTCAAAGAAGAGCGGCTATTGGCACAACTTACATTCATACATTTATTCAGATCTAATTTTGACTCACTTAGAATCATTTTTCTTGTAACGTTATCCTCCGAAGTAAAGTTTTTGTTACCAGCGAAAGTATTCAGTATTCAGAGTATTTATTAGAACTCCCCCATCTAGTAGCCTTCTAGTTCTATTATTATTACTTTTATAGATTATTTCACACTTCTTAAAATCAATATTGTGATCCTTTTCGCAACTCTGGTTTGCTACAACACTATTACTAGCTATGATTCTACATAAATAGTTTTCATATTACTATACACAATTTACTCTTATTTTTTAAATATTTTCCCAGGCAAAGCTAATGAGCAGTGACAAAATCAGTCGAGGAAGTCAATATGTGACCAAGCACACTGTTCCCTCTTGAATTCCGGCGACCCCCAACAGCCTTATGTCCGTCCCATACCCCAAGCCATTCACCATGCAAGGTTGGGTGAGGCTAGCACTGAGTGTCTAGCTTACATCCTTAGACAAACTGACATTCTCTCCTATAGATTGTGAGGGAGTTGTATATAAATACCCACGAAGAGAGAAATATTTGTGCTTCTTCAGAAGTACAAAAACATATTTTCATTGTTATTTTGTTATCTTTGTGTATTTTGTATAGTTGCCGGATATTTGTAAGTGTTGATGCATTGCAGGTACCACGGGGAGCTGTGTGAGCAGGCGGAGTGTAGGGGCGGCCAGGGCGGGCCCTGCCACAGTGGCCAGTGTATACCCACCCAACACGCCCACCCATTCTGCCTCTGCCCCACCCACCGCCACGGCCTCTACTGTGAACTGGGTAAGTTAGAGAAGATGTTACCCCCGAGCACCGCCAAGCATGGCGCCCGCCGCGGACACGCGCCGCCTCGTGGCGCGCCACCCATCCTGGCACACCAGAACCACACACACTTTTGATGGAGGCCAAAACCATCAGTAGTGTCAAAGCATTATAAGACAAAGAGTAGTGGGAAGACGGGACATCACGAGCGTAGCTCTCATCCTGTAATTACATTTAGGAAATTACACACACACACACACACACACACACACACACACACACACACACACACACACACACACACACACACACACACACACACACACACACACACACACACACACACACACATACATAGTGTGTGACTGTTCAGATCGTCCTCTCGAGCGTTCACAACATCACTAAAATGATGCACTAAATTGCCCGAACCTAACCTAACCGAGGACCCACGAATAGAAAACGGGACATCAACTCAATTTTACCAACCGCTATGATTTTTAGTACACATCTTTTTTTTTGTTTTGGCCTTAGAGGACCTATACATAAAATTGCAATGTACTATTCGAGAGTACAGATTGCATATGTAAGTTATCTGTCGTTGACAGCCAATCCCACACATCGGAAAATGTAGAAACAGCATCGTTTGACTGCTCTTGTGGAAGACGTGGTGGATGTCGCGTAACCCACAGGTCTAGTCGCGCCAGAACGATCAACAGTAGGATTGGTATATACAAGGAACATGTTTCTGTAGCTAAGAAGTGGGGGGGCCCAAGGACTAGATCTCGCTCCCCGTAGACACCAATAGGTAATCACATAACACGTCCACTTTTTGCTTCATTCCCAAAGTCCTTACAGTAGGCTACTTAGACCGGCAATCTGTTTTTTTTTGTTATTATTATAACCCCAAGATAACATGATCACCTAATACTAAAAATGTATATCTCTCAAAACTATAAAAGTGTATATGATTTGTATATATATACTTAGAGGCCTAGTGCAATCATTTTTAAAAAACCGTAGGAAATAGAACAACGATTATGAGTTAAAGGAATTTGGAGAAACAACATTAGTTTGTACTATGGGAATGTGTGTGTCGTTAGGTAGTCTGCTGTATGTTATGTAGCCTTCTGTAAGGTAGGAAACTTACTGTAAGGTAGGAAGCTTACTGTAAGGTAGGAAGCTTACTGTGAGGTAGGAAGCTTACTGTGAGGTAGGAAGCTTACTGTAAGGTAGGAAGCTTACTGTGAGGTAGGAAGCTTACTGTGAGGTAGGAAGCTTACTGTGAGGTAGGAAGCTTACTGTGAGGTAGGAAGCTTACAGTGAGGTAGGAAGCTTACTGTAAGGTAGGAAGCTTACTGTGAGGTAGGAAGCTTACTGTAAGGTAGATAGCCTACTGTGAGGTAGGAAGCTTACTGTGAGGTAGGAAGCTTACTGTGAGGTAGGAAGCTTACTGTGAGGTAGGAAGCTTACTGTAAGGTAGGAAGCTTACTGTAAGGTAGGAAGCTTACTGTGAGGTAGATAGCCTACTGTGACAATCGTTTCCCAAATTTTCTTAACAATCGTTTATGTCAAGCAGCCTAGACGTTATTGATATCACAGCCTAGATGTTGTTGATAGCACAGTCTAGACGTTATTGATATCACAGCCTAGATGTTGTTGATAGCACAGTCTAGACGTTGTTGATATCACAGTCTAGACGTTGTTGATATCACAGTCTAGACGTTGTTGATATCACAGTCTAGACGTTGTTGATATCACAGTCTAGACGATGTTGATATCACAGTCTAGACGTTGTTGATATCACAGTCTAGGCGTTGTTGATAGCACAGTCTAGACGTTGTTGATAGCACAGTCTAGACGTTGTTGATATCACAGTCTAGACGTTGTTGATATCACAGTCTAGACGTTGTTGATATCACAGTCTAGACGTTGTTGATATCACAGTCTAGACGTTGTTGATATCACAGTCTAGACGATGTTGATATCACAGTCTAGACGTTGTTGATATCAGAGTCTAGGCATTGTTGATAGCACAGTCTAGACGTTGTTGATAGCACAGTCTAGACGTTGTTGATATCACAGTCTAGACGTTGTTGATATCACAGTCTAGACGTTGTTGATATCACAGTGTAGACGTTGTTGATATCACAGTCTAGACGTTGTTGATATCACAGTCTAGACGTTGTTTCAGTCTAAACGTTGCTGATATTGGTGTAGAGACTGTCTGCACGCCTATATCATTCATGCAGAGTGACAGACATTATTGCAGAATGTCTGTGAATATACTGGTGACGTTACAGCGTGTCTGTACGTGGCTGCAAGGGTCTGGACCTAGGATGTTGCAATGTAGGTGTGTAATGTAACTGTCCCCTGGTACTGTAGTGGTGGGGTTGGTTGGTGGTGTTTCAGAACGCGTGGTGGAGCGGCCGTCCTACGCCGGCACCGTCGAGGGCTACAGCTCCTATTCTCTCTACCGTCTCAGCTACGATGTCACGCACTCCATCGCTCTCAGGTAGCTGGACGCACTCGCTGGCGTGTTCTATGCACTCGAGTCACGCTTCATGCACTCTCATGCGTGTTCTATGCACTTGGTCACGATTCATGCGCTCTCAGGCGTGTTCTATGCACTCGGTCACGGTTCACGCACTCTCAGGCGTGTTCTATGCACTCGGCCACTCTTCACGCACTCTCAGGCGTGTTCTATGCACTCGGTCACGCTTCATGCACTCTCAGACGTGTTCTCTGCACTCGGTCATCCTTCACGCACTCTCAGGCGTGTTCTATGCACTCAGGTATGCACGACGTTCTCACGCATGCAAATGATTGCACTCAGGTCTGCTCAATGGCCTTATGCACTCAAGTGTGATCCTTGCACTCACGTATGCTAGACATACTCCGGTATGATTGATGCCCTTAATTTTGTATGCGTACACACTCTGGCATTCTTGACAGAATGAATAAAAATAGAATAGAATCGACGCACTCAGATATGGTCGATATATCAAAGCACACACACGACGCACTTCGGAATTATCGACGTACACATGTATATTCAACACAGGTAAAATATAATCGACGCACTCTAGCATCCTTGACGCACTCTCTACTACTCAAGCATCGATTTCATAATATATTTATTTTGTATCTAAAGATACCAGTCAGCGTCAGTGGTCACGAACGGTGTGCTTTGACCTCTAATGACCCCTTATATGAACCGTCATGGTCCTATACATGACATCTTTTGCATGTAAACATTGTGTAGATGGGGGTCAACTGTGACGTCACGCCACGCTGCCACGTGTTGCATGTAAACATTGTGTAGATGGGGGTCAACTGTGACGTCACGCCACGCTGCCACGTGTTGCATGTAAACATTGTGTAGATGGAGGTCAAATGTGACGTCACGCCACGCTGCCACGTGTTGCATGTAAACATTGTATAGAGGGGGGTCAAATATGACGTCACGCCACGCTGCCATGTGTTGCATGTAAACATTGTGTAGATGGCAGTCAAATGTGACGTCACGCCACCCTGCCACGTGTTGCATGTAAACATTGTGTAGATGGCAGTCAACTGTGACGTCACGCCACGCTGCCACGTGTTGCATGTAAACATTGTGTAGATGGCGGTCAACTGACACTATGTTTTAAGTCAACTCCGGTACAGATCACTATTCACATCTCACACAGTTGATATAATGGACAGCGGCCCCTGACGCTCACTGTAACAATGTTGATACACTGCCCCTTACTCAACACTCTCATAAGATACACTGCCCCTTACTCATCACCCTCACAAGATACACTGCCCCCACACTCAACACCTCACAAGATACACTGCCCCTTACTCAACACCCACACAAGATACACCGCCCCTTACTCAACACCCACACAAGATACACCGCCCCTTACTCAACACCCACACAAGATACACCGCCCCTTACTCAACACCCTCACAAGATACACCGCCCCTTACTCAACACCCTCACAAGATACACCGCCCCTTACTCAACACCCACGCAAACTCACCACCCGTCAAGACCGTCTCCCTCCCTCCCTCCTCTCATTCCGACGCCTCTCTCAACAGACTGCACTTCACGACGAAGGCCCTGCAGCAGGTGGGCCTCCTGGCCTACCTGGGCAACGAGGTGAGGAGTGCCAGGCAGGACTTCCTGGCACTCAGTCTCGTCCGTGGTCACCTGATGCTCACCTGGGACCTCGGTGCTGGTAACTTTACACTTGAATAACTCATAAATGGCTTATACATTGATGTACTTTGCATCATTTCAAGTCCTGTTATTAATTTATACAAGAAACTGTTTATAATAATGTTTTAATTCTGATTATTATTATTATTATATCTTATATTAATCTAGTTTTTAAATTTAAAATATCATTCATTTATTCAATAAAAACAGTAATAATAGTCTTAACATTGATCATCATCATCATGCATTTTAAAATGATAATAAAAACGGAATGCTCATTATTTTAACGACAATAATGATAGTAATTGTTACATTTCTAAAACAGATACGTTGTAAAAGACACGTGAGAACACCTAAATTAATTTAAAGTCATTCATTCACACACGCACGCACACACATACACACACACACACACACACACACACACACACACACACACACAATACAATAGTGCATGAGGCTTAGCAAGATCTACTCTCCGCCAGACATGGCCGTTATCGGGACACCCCCAACAAACAGGAAGTCTGGGAACGGACGAATTGCAGTTTTAATTCTTTATTTTCTTTACCTAAAATTAGGCCCACGAAGAATAATGACGTCAGAGGCACTGGACGCTACGTTGCACACGCACTCTGCGCTGATTGGTCGCCGTGGGCGGGGGGCGTGGCTTGTGGTGGACACACAGAAGAATATATCTGCAGATTCCCAGGGCTATTTGTCCTCCCTCAACACCAACTCTATGCTCTATATCGGTAATCTCTCCTCTCTCAACACCAACTCTATGCTCTATATCGGTAATCTGTCCTCTCTCAACACCAACTCTATGCTCTATATCGGTAATCTGTCCTCTCTCAACACCAACTCTATGCTCTATATCGGTAATCTCTCCTCCCTCAACACCAACTCTATGCTCTATATCGGTAATCTCTCCTCCCTCAACACCAACTCTATGCTCTATATCGGTAATCTCTCCTCCCTCAACACCAACTCTATGCTCTATATCGGTAATCTCTACTCCCTCAACACCAACTCTATGCTCTATATCGGTAATCTCTACTCCCTCAACACCAACTCTATGCTCTATATCGGTAATCTCTCCTCCCTCAACACCAACTCTATGCTCTATATCGGTAATCTCTCCTCCCTCAACACCAACTCTATGCTCTATATCGGTAATCTCTCCTCCCTCAACACCAACTCTATGCTCTATATCGGTAATCTCTCCTCCCTCAACACCAACTCTATGCTCTATATCGGTAATCTCTCCTCCCTCAACACCAACTCTATGCTCTATATCGGTAATCTCTCCTCCCTCAACACCAACTCTATGCTCTATATCGGTAATCTCTACTCCCTCAACACCAACTCTATGCTCTATATCGGTAATCTCTACTCCCTCAACACCAACTCTATGCTCTATATCGGTAATCTCTCCTCCCTCAACACCAACTCTATGCTCTATATCGGTAATCTGTCCTCTCTCAACACCAACTCTATGCTCTATATCGGTAATCTCTCCTCCCTCAACACCAACTCTATGCTCTATATCGGTAATCTCTACTCCCTCAACACCAACTCTATGCTCTATATCGGTAATCTCTACTCCCTCAACACCAACTCTATGCTCTATATCGGTAATCTCTACTCCCTCAACACCAACTCTATGCTCTATATCGGTAATCTCTCCTCCCTCAACACCAACTCTATGCTCTATATCGGTAATCTCTCCTCCCTCAACACCAACTCTATGCTCTATATCGGTAATCTCTACTCCCTCAACACCAACTCTATGCTCTATATCGGTAATCTCTACTCCCTCAACACCAACTCTATGCTCTATATCGGTAATCTCTCCTCCCTCAACACCAACTCTATGCTCTATATCGGTAATCTCTCCTCCCTCAACACCAACTCTATGCTCTATATCGGTAATCTCTCCTCCCTCAACACCAACTCTATGCTCTATATCGGTAATCTCTCCTCCCTCAACACCAACTCTATGCTCTATATCGGTAATCTCTCCTCCCTCAACACCAACTCTATGCTCTATATCGGTAATCTCTCCTCCCTCAACACCAACTCTATGCTCTATATCGGTAATCTCTCCTCCCTCAACACCAACTCTATGCTCTATATCGGTAATCTGTCCTCTCTCAACACCAACTCTATGCTCTATATCGGTAATCTCTCCTCCCTCAACACCAACTCTATGCTCTATATCGGTAATCTCTCCTCTCTCAACACCAACTCTATGCTCTATATCGGTAATCTGTCCTCCCTCAACACCAACTCTATGCTCTATATCGGTAATCTCTCCTCTCTCAACACCAACTCTATGCTCTATATCGGTAATCTGTCCTCCCTCAACACCAACTCTATGCTCTATATCGGTAATCTGTCCTCCCTCAACACCAACTCTATGCTCTATATCGGTAATCTGTCCTCCCTCAACACCAACTCTATGCTCTATATCGGTAATCTGTCCTCCCTCAACACCAACTCTATGCTCTATATCGGTAATCTGTCCTCCCTCAACACCAACTCTATGCTCTATATCGGTAGCCTCTCCTCCCTCAACACCAACTCTATGCTCTATATCGGTAATCTCTCCTCTCTCAACACCAACTCTATGCTCTATATCGGTAATCTGTCCTCCCTCAACACCAACTCTATGCTCTATATCGGTAATCTGTCCTCCCTCAACACCAACTCTATGCTCTATATCGGTAATCTGTCCTCCCTCAACACCAACTCTATGCTCTATATCGGTAATCTGTCCTCCCTCAACACCAACTCTATGCTCTATATCGGTAATCTGTCCTCCCTCAACACCAACTCTATGCTCTATATCGGTAATCTCTCCTCTCTCAACACCAACTCTATGCTCTATATCGGTAATCTGTCCTCCCTCAACACCAACTCTATGCTCTATATCGGTAATCTGTCCTCCCTCAACACCAACTCTATGCTCTATATCGGTAATCTGTCCTCCCTCAACACCAACTCTATGCTCTATATCGGTAATCTGTCCTCCCTCAACACCAACTCTATGCTCTATATCGGTAATCTGTCCTCCCTCAACACCAACTCTATGCTCTATATCGGTAATCTCTCCTCTCTCAACACCAACTCTATGCTCTATATCGGTAATCTGTCCTCCCTCAACACCAACTCTATGCTCTATATCGGTAATCTGTCCTCCCTCAACACCAACTCTATGCTCTATATCGGTAATCTCTCCTCCCTCAACACCAACTCTATGCTCTATATCGATTGTTGTTCTACATTCACTCTATTTTCAGGGGAAAATTTTAAACAAATGACGCAGCCCAACCTCGTATTAAGGTAGTACTTATAGTAACGCCCATCGTACATATATTGACATAAAAGGCATTTAGAACAACCAGTCCTCGACTCAAGTCCATTCCATCCAGCGGTCAACCCCATAGACGCATTCATAAACAGGGGGGTTTTGGCGGGTGCATTGAATCACTTTTGAATCTTTGTTTGGAGGACGGGCTGTTTAGAAAGAAAAAATCGGTACTATTGAATTTGAACAAACCGGAAAATTTCTTTGTACTCATGTTGCAAAGTACATATATATATATATGTGCTATACTAAGCCTAGGAATATTTTAAGTTCGGTTTTTTGTTATAGTTTTTCGGACTTTTATGAAGTGCATAGTGGCAAATTCAAGTGTCTAAGTGTCCATTATGTCTATGTATGTACGATGGTGCAGATAGTTACGAAAGTGCTGTCTATAGACAGAAGGACGGGTTGGGTGACAATGGAAGATTTGAATTACTACTTGCGATAGGATTTTTTGTCAGTGGAATTTGAATTCAGTTTGACAGTATTGAGAAATTGTCTGTCTCTTTCAGTTATGTGAGGCTGCTAAGTTAGGGGAGATTGCTAAGTTAGGTGAGGCTGCTAGGTTAGGTGAGGCTGCTAAGTTAGGTGAGGCTGCTAAGTTAGGGGAGATTGCTAAGTTAGGGGAGATTGCTAAGTTAGGTGAGGCTGCTAAGTTAGGCGAGGCTGCTAAGTTAGACGTGGCTGCTAAGTTAGGTGAGGCTACTAAGTTAGGTGAGGCTGCTAAGTTAGGTGAGGCACAAATTATTCCGTATTGTTTAGCCTGCTGTGGCCCTTCTCTGGGCCCAAGGTCAAACAACAGTGTTTGTAACGCAGTATTGCTCATGGCTTGCACCGTCAACTTGCGTCTCTCTCCACTTGGGCTGGACGGTAGAGCGACGGTCTCGCTTTATGCAGGTCGGCGTTCAATCCCCGACCGTCCAAGTGGTTGTGCACCATTCCTTCCCCCCATCCCATCCCAAATCCTTATCCTGTCCCCCTTTCCAGGAGTTATATAGTCGTAATGACTTGGTGCATCTCCAGATAGTTCTCTTCCCTTCCACTAATTAGCGTTCTCCTGACCTCTAGTTCCCTTTGACAACTCGTGACCCCTGACCTTTGGTGACCCAGTAATCCTTTATGCTATGCGGCCATGACTACTTGTAACAAAAGGCCGCTCATGACCTTAGTGACCTTGAATTCTATTCCCCGGCCTCAAGTGACCCCTGATCACTTTCCTGGCATGGCTCTTGCCCGTGATATTTTTATGGTCTGGTGACCTCTATTGACCTTTGACCTGGAGCAATCCGTGACGTGTGGTGTGTCCCGCAGGAGGCCACCCGTCCTGGAACATGACCCACCTGCCGGCCGACATGTGGCGCCACCAGGGCTTCCGCGGCTGCGTCTTCGACCTGCGTGTGGCCGGCACCCTGGAGGGGCCCTGGACCGCCCTCAGGATAGCCGGAGGGGCTAACGTGAAGGAGTGTGGTCAGGACGAGTGCCACCGGGACTCCTGCGCCAACGGTGGCACCTGCGTCGGCCTCGGTGCTACCATCAGGTCAGTTCACCTCCACCAGATACTTTTCCTCCTTCTCTATTTGCTCCATCAGTTTCCACATTTCCTCCTCCCTTGCCCTATTCTCTTTCCCCACACCTTGGATACTTGCTCCGTAACACACGTACACACGCAGTATACACATACACACACGCACGCAGTATACACATACACACACGCAACATACACACAATATACACCACTTACACACTTCATTCACAGCTGTAAGGGCATAAATGACAAGGCCGAATAGGCTCTCGAAGTTATACAACGATCAATTGAAAGTTGAGAGATGATTTTGATGTGATTATCCACAAGTATAATTGTAACATTCTCAGTGTATATTATTATTTCTTTCATTATAAAAGTTCTCTATTCTCCCAGTCATCCGATTCTACACCGTCGTCCTATTCTCCTCAGCCTCTTGTTATTCTCCTTTCCTTTACGTCGCAGTAAGACTAAGATTCCCTGCCATCCACGCCCACCCCGTTGCCAGGTAACTAACCGTTGTAAACACTGGGTAGGTGTGAGTGTCCCGTCGGGTGGAAGGGCCCGCGGTGTGAGGCTGCCAGCCACGTGTGTGAGGGGGGCGGGAGGTGCGCCCCCGGAGCCTCGTGCCTGGGAGGGGGGTCGTCGGGAGCGCCCCTCACCTGCTTGTGTCAGCTGGGCAGGACTGGACCTCGCTGTGAGAAAGGTGAGGCCAGGCGTGTGTATATATGGCGTCTTGTGCGAATCATCAATCAGTAAACATTTTATTGTGGAAATATATTAATATGTCTGGTACTGCTGTTACAATCAATAATACCAATTTTGATGATGGGATTGATGATATTGATGATGATACATGGCATAAGGACCACTAGGTTCTCTTTATATATGTTATTCTAAACCATCGGTGAAAAACAGTATTGCAAATGCTGCATGTGAGCGTGGAAGAGTTGATGATTGCCAGGATTCATCAATCATTTACGCAACCACTTACGAAACCTTTACACCTTTCCTTTATTGTGACTATAAAAGCTCTGTTTACTTTTATTAAACAGTTTATGCGCTCCGAAGCACTACGAGTTCATTTAAAACAATAATAACACTGGGTTGAGAAGCTTCGAAACTTGTAAACTGTTTAATAAATGTAAGCAAAGCAAACATGATTCAATCATCATGTTTGATGATGTACAGGTTTTCGGAAGTAGGTGCATAAATGCTTGATGAGTCGTGATGATAAGGTGTGCAGGTGATGAGTGACCACGACGCCTGACCCGCTTGTCATGTCTTGGCCGCAGGCGTCAACATCACAGACCCGCATTTCTCGGGCGACGGGTCCTTCCTCAGCCTCCGTGCCAAGAACCTCCGACGGGAGTCTGAGGTGGTCATGTCCTTCAGACCCACGCGTCTCGATGGCCTCCTGCTGCTGGTGCTGCCGAGGAGACCCCCGGGAGACTTCATGGCCCTGGCGCTCGTCAACGGCACCCTGCAGTTTACTTATCATCTGGGTAAGCAGTGAGGCCAGGAGAGAGAGAGAGAGAGAGAGATAGCCGCAGAAAAAAACAAATACATGTTTAGTTCAAATTATTTACTATTAACATCTCCAATCATATAAAACTTAGTAGACACTAATAATTATATATATATATATATATATATATATATATATATATATATATATATATATATATATATATATATGTATATACATATATATATATATATATATATATATATATATATATATATATATATATATATATATATATATATATATATATATATATATATAAAAGCTTTCCCTTATAAAAGCTTGTATATATAACAGCTTCCCTTCAAAGAAGGGAAGCTGTTATTCAGCTGTACAAATGTACAAATGTGCCCACATCTGGACTACTGTAGGCAAGCTTGGGAGATATTATTCCAGAACACTTCTTTGATAGGTGAAGTAACTCACACAAGGGAAAACAGACTCAAGTTCAATAACCCACAATGTAGGACAGGAAACAGAACCACTACTGGATAGTTATGGCTGTCACACACACATACACGCACATTAAATGTCTGTTAGAGTCAGTTAAGTGTGAGTGCATGTCAATTCATGCACTCGGAAAAATAAGTTGTCAAATATACCCGAGTACCAGCTGTAGAAAGGTTGAGGATCGACTCTGCTAGCATATAACATCACAGGAAGAATATATATTGTAATATACATATTGTCACGGTACGACTGTCACTGTTCACCATTCTCACTACCCATCATTGTCACTGTGCACAGGGTGGCGCGCGCCGGGGCTGGTGGTGGTGCGGTCTGAGGGCGAGGTGAGGCTGCAGGAGTGGCAGACGGTGCAGGTGTGGCGACGGGGCGGGGACGGGGCCCTCACCTTCAGGGGAACCACCACCAGGGCCGCCTCCCCCTCCCCCACCACACTTCTCGACGTACACTCAGAACTCTTCCTCGGTCTGTTATATATCCTTGGTTCCTTGGTTATACTCGTAATCCCTCAGTTATATGTATGGAGTCTAACGATCCCTCACGTACACAGATAGTCCATTGAGGTTTTACTCAAAATTTCTCAAATATATATATTTTGGAAAATGGCTATACATATATCTGTAAGGTATACATTATTCTTTTTAATATTAATGATATACTTAAGTACATGGGCACTTATGCGGCAACTCTAGAGTATATGAAAGGTTATAAAATTTGTGTCAAAGATCTAGCTATGCGATACTCACAGGATGGGTAGTCATACAGGAGATTGTGATGAGTTAGCCTACACTGGCAAACGTTTGGTGCATTATGAGGACATCTTCAAGGGAAAAAAAGAGAATAGAATCAATAATTGCATAGATCCAGGTACCTCATACCGGCAGGTCTTCAGGGTCTTACGGCTAGTAGTAGTAGTAGGCAACCTGCAGTCTTGGTAGACTATGGAGTTGTGCTCTGGTTGTCGAGGCTGGAGTGTCCTCTCCAGGGCGCAAAGCCCGGGAAGGTCGATATGGAGGAGAAGCTGCTACCCATGCGGCAGGTCCTCCCCTCTCTACGTTGTTGAAAGTGTCCAATGGAAAGGCAAACGCCAATACGCTTGGTTCCAGCGCCGTCGCGGGAGCCGCCAGAACGAGGTTGAAGTTTTATGGCTAGTCCTTCAGTAATACGGTGCTTGGGACTGGGAGGTTGGTCACTTACTGGCGCCTGAATTAAGTAATAGCTGATTACTTAATTCTGTCCAAGGTGATTCTATCAATTACTATGTCACTGGTAAACCCTTTCTCCTGCCCATTTATATAGGTGTCATATCTAAACCAATCATAATTTGTATTGCTAATTTAGCTGCCTCGTGTGTGTCGTCATGATGAGTTATATTTGTGAGAGGGTGTCCTTACAGGCGGACATCATAACCTTTAATGTTGAGCATCCAACCGCACGGTGCCAACCAGTTTGTAATGTTATGGATGTGTAAACGTCTTCATTTCAAGCTCTGAGAGTTTTAAACGTTCTGAGAGATTCAAGATGCACGGATGTGCAGTATTCTGTATTGCATATAATTAAGTTTGATATACATTGATTTACATGGGGCTGGGAGGCGTTGATAAATGTGGGGAAGATAGATGCGAAAGAGAAGGAAGTGGGGGAGTAGCGAGAGAGGAATAGGGGTAGGGGGGGCTATTGTTCATGTTCTTAACTGAACAATATGTTCTGTGTTCATGTAATTGTTGCTGCTATGAAAACTATTACAATTATAATTAATTGTATTATTATAACTTATTGGAATAATAATAATAATAACAATAATAATATTATAATTATTATTATTATTATTTTAATAAATACTTAAGAGTTTTACATTAAAATTACTTTCTATGAGCCGTCATATATTCTATAAAAATCTATAGCTTGTGATGCATGTCAAATAACTCTAAATTTTCAGCCAGTAACCCTAACCTGAGAGAGTTGGTCAAGAGTTTGGTCAAGAGTTGGCTATAAGCGGGGCCAATAGTAGTGCTTTGATAATGTTTACTGTGTCTGATAATTCGTTTTGACTAACATATTGCTACATGGGCTTAAACAGTTGCAGAGTTCATTATATTTTGTTATATGATGTTTAACATGCTCTACAGTCATTGTAGTTTAATTTGTATTTCGTGTAGAAAACAAATCAAAATACTGTGGCGGGAAAGTGAGAATATTTCTGCTTGTTATATAATGTCTGTTCGTTATTGGCTCGTAGACTTTGGTGAATTATTATGGTCATTTATATCCATGAGTTCTCATATCTGTTTATAGCTTGTTGTGATCTTAATGAGTTTATGGCTAATTGATGTTTAGTGTACTCACCTATTTGTGTCTGCAGGCATGAGCATTGACACTCTTGGATCCCGAGTTACTGTTTATATCTAACTGTATGTGTAAACAAGAGTTGGTTATTGGTAGTGATGAGATGGTGTGTGTCTCTCTCTCTCAGGTGGCGCGCCCGACCTGGCAGTGGTCCCGCCAGCCGTGGCGCCTCCTGATAGTCGTGTTGCCTTCCGTGGCTGTGTCAGGCAGGTCCGTGTCAGCTTCTCACACTGTCTGCTCTCACTCTCTCTTCTCTTCTCTTCTCTTCTCTTCTCTTCTCTTCTCTTCTCTTCTCTTCTCTCTCTCTCTCTCTCTCTCTCTCTCTCTCTCTCTCTCTCTCTCTCTCTCTCTCTCTCTCTCTCTCTCTCTCTCTCTCTCTCTCTCTCTCTCACCATTGCAGCTCCCCTGTACACCACCATATGCACTGAATCGCCCAACCATTCTAGTCACTAACTAATCTTTTCACCATACCACATATGCACCGCACTATCCTAGTTACTCATTGGCCTCACTCATCAACCCCCACTCACTCACCCATTCTTCCCTCTCATCATGCCACACACCCATCCACTAGTCAACCACGCACACAATTGACCTTGATACCCCCCCAAAGTATCTCATTCCGCGAACCACTGGGTTGTACATCCACGCGACTCACCGAGTCTTCCATCCTCGTCACTCACTTGGTTACCTGACTACCACCTCACCCACCATACTCATCCAACCCACTCACACTATCAGCCAGTGGGCTGGATGATGCCCACTGGATGCCCACTTGCCTGTGATGGAGGTAACGAGTGTTCCCGTGGCCGCAGGTGGTGATCAATGGGGTGGAGCAGGACCTGCGGGTGCCTGGCGGAGGGGTGGTGCGCGGGGCGGGGATCACTGACTGCGACGGGACGGCCTGCGGCAGCCAGGTGTGCCTCAACGGGGGCACCTGTACTCCTGTCGGCGACACCTTCGTCTGCACCTGCCCACAGGTGAGCTTGCCTGTTTTCCCAGCACTTCCGTGTGCATCTATCTCTGTGTCTCACATTATGTAAGGTTTGTCGCATCTTGCCACACCTCCGCGTCTCACAACTTTTTGAATAACAACGGAAATTCCATCTTAAATGTAGGTAACTTGTACGCAACTTGTCACTGTACGTATACATTAGAAAGGCTTAATGTTGTGCATATTTGATAAAACGCGCTGATGAATGCATGATGATTAATGAAGTTGATGAGTTGCCTCCTGCAGGAGTATACAGGAGCGAGGTGTCAGCTGGCACGGGCCTGTCTCGACCATCTGTGTGTCAACGGAGGAAGGTGCGTGCCCTCGTACGTCTCTGACAGCGGCAAGAAGCGTCGTCACACACTCCTGCAGGTGGAGGGACCACCTCGAGGAAACACTGGAGAGGTGCAAGTGGACGGGATCAAGCGGGAGGAACCCGTCAGACGAAGAGGGAACCTCATCAGGGACGGTCAAAGTACCATGCACAAGGAAAAGTACAGCGTGGGGAAAGGAAATGTGTTCAGGGAAACGCATCTTATTTTGGAAGATGGAGACGGGGCTTCGAACATGAACAGTGATGGCGATCTGGAGAAGCGTATCAGAAGGGAAGGGGGCATCTTCAAGCGCGTGGATGGGAAAGAAGACGTAGCCATGGGCAAGAATGAAGACATGAAGAAGAGAGAGACTGAGGACGTGAACACTGCCTACAGCCCATATAACTGCCTCTGTCCTCTTGGCTACTTCGGTGTTCACTGCGAAGCAGGTCAGCGGGCTGCTCGCACTTCTTGTTTCTTACAATATTTCTTTCGTAAAAGTCATTGTTGTTTACCTCCTTCGTTAATATAGTTTAAAAAAAGTTATCGTTTCTTCTATCAATATTTATTATCTGTGTTTACCTCTCTCTCCTGAACAGTTTCTCCTCGAACACAGTATCCACCGTTGTAGTAAATATTGAAGTTTTCATTTAATGCTAAATTAGACTATTTAAAAAATGTTCGACTCTCGAAACAATGTAATAATGGTTACATCATTATGATCAGATCTGAGCCAAGACCAGGGTTAAAAATAATGGTTTTAAACTATATGTGTTTTTAGAGGCTTTAGTTCATTCACTCGGAAAAATAAATAAATGTAATAAAAGTATGGTAAATATAAATAAATAAATAAATATAAATAAATGTTTATTCAGGTAAGGTACATACATACAAGAGATTTTACAAAAATGGATAGATTTATAGATAAAGCTAGTACATACAATGCCTAAAGTCACTATTACGAAAAGCGTTTCGGGCAGGTAATGCAATATCAATGCAATACCATTCTATAAAAATGATAATAGGACATAATAAAAGCAATGAAGGTGCTACACTATGACCCCCACAGGCGGGGAGGTGGTCTCAGCCAGGTTCTCTGGGAGGAGCTTCGCCGTGGTCCCTGAGGGCCCCTTCGGCAGCCCCGCGCCGGACACAGACTCCCTGGCTCTCAACTTCTCCACCAGCGCCACACACGGCCTCCTCCTGTGGCGAGGACAGGTAAGCTCTTGAATACCCGAGTGTCGTGGGGGACAATCCTTCCTCAGATCAAGTCCATTCCATCCAGTGGTCGACCCCAAACACGCATTCATCAATTTTAACATGTTGTTCATTCAAAATAGGAATTTTCTCAAATATAAATTGATATTGTTATATATTAGCATTCTGTGTATATTTAAGCATTGGTTAGTCTAGGCTAGGTGTTTAGGTTCTGTTGGCGATTATTTGTATTTGTATTTGTACTACATTTACAGCGTTGTGGTTCGAACAAAAGTAGTCAGCGAAGCATTTATTCAAGAAGTGTTCGAACATCATCAGTTGTGCAGCCCGTCCTCGTAAACACAGGCCAAAATCCATTTCCTGCACCCGCCAAACCCCCTGTTTATAAAAGAAAAACGGTTTACATACGACTCACAAGTGATACCGTTCGAACATTTTTCAAACAGTGCTTCACTCACAACCTCTGTTCGAATCGCAACTATGTAAGTGCTTCACCCATGTACTACAAACACGAATAATCGCCAACAGAACCTAAATACCTCACTTAACCTAACAATATGCTTAAATATGGACAATATCCTAATACAGTATATTATAATATTAATTTATATTTGAGAAAATTCCTATTTTGAATGAATAGCATGTTAAAACTGATGAATACGTCTTTGGGGTCGACCGCTGGATGGAATGGACATAGATTGAGGACGGGTTAAGCTTCACCCACGTACCAGAACCTAAACACCTAACCTAACCTACATCTAACTATAAATAGAACTTTACTATATAAACGAGAACAAGTCTATTTTTAATATACAATTCGTTAAAATTGATTAATTCGTCTTTGGGGTTGGCGGCTGCATGCACGAGCCTAGCCTGAGGGTTTGACATAGGAGTAATGAACGTGTTCTTGGCGGCGCCGTACAGGTGGATGTCCCCGGAGAGGATTTCCTAGGTGTGGGTGTGTCAGGCGGGCGGGTGAAGGTGGTGTGGCACCTAGGGGGAGGAACCCTTGGCCACCTCACTACGTCAGGTGAGTCACCTGCTGTCTTCACCAGAATACATCTTTCCAAAGAGTTTCAAAGTGCATCGTAAACTATAAAGATTCTTAACGTAATAATTGTATCCATTTACTGTAAAACATGTATATGTACCAAATTCTTAATGCTCCATTTTTATATAATAATATTTATTACATTAAATAAGCTGTCTAATCGCAATATAAATTAGTACATTTCTGGTTGCAATAAGTTGATGCAGATCATTTAGATAAGCTTGATTCGGTAAAAGTGTTTACCTTGTGACGCACTGTGTTGTGCCTGCAGGCAGCGTGAGGGACGGGGCGTGGCACAGTCTGCTGGTGTCGAGGACGGGCGCCGTCGTCACCGTCTTCCTCAATGGCCGCCCAACCAAGGCCGCTGCCTCTGGCACTTACACACAAATCAATGACGCACAGGGACTCTTTGTTGGTAGGCTTACAATTTTAGCAAATTTCTACAATCTTCATTGATATAGTTGAAGTTCTTAATATGCAATACGAGCAAAGTTTCTTCATAATCTCAGCAGTCTAAAGTCTCACTTGTTCCTCTTCGTATATAAAAAGTTTGTATTTCTTTATCTCCTGATTGTAACAATTACTTTCTTCTTCCCCCTACCTTGTGTGTCATGCCTTACCTCTCATGGAACTTGCAGGTGGATTCCCTAACGACGTGTCAGTGGCCTTTGGGACAGAGGGACACTTCCAGGGGGCCTTCGTCGGATGCATACGAGACCTCATCGTGCATCAAGCCTCGACCCCCATCAAGTTCTCCACACTTCAACAAGGCCAGGATCTCCAGCCTTGCTCGTGAAGATGGCGGAAAATATATCCTGCTTGTTCCTGAGATGTTGGTGAAGACTCTAGCAATGAATGTATTCAGTGTTGCAAAAGCAGTTATGTGTTATAATAATGTTGTTTAGAGGTTAAAAACGACGAGAACATGAAGTCTTGGAAAATGATCAAGAACGTACGTTTTAATACGTAAGAGATAACATACATATACTGTACCTGTTAATACTGTGAAGACAATTTTCAGAGTACTTTACGATGCTGTGAAAGACACTCAGTGTACCTGACAATGCTGTGAAACAAACTTGCAGTATTCATTACTCTGCTGTAGACGAAATTATTCTTGCATATAAAGTACCAAAAAAGATTCCAGTATATTTGTTACTGTACCGATGAAAAAAAGACTGCAACAAGCGACAATTCTCCTTATTAAATCGATAAAGTTGACCATTATCTGAAAGAGCGTCACAATGACTATTTCAGCCCTGAGGAAGAAATGAGCTGTTTATATTGCGATAGCGTTCATCAATGATCCGGAAACACTTAGCTCCTCTACGTACGATCGCGGGGAATCTTCCCGTAGTTTACAATGCTATAGAATGGTGGCGAAAATTATGCTGGGAACGGTATAAAGTGAAAAGAAAACTGCTGTATAATTTGTGGTGTGATATGAAATGTTATGTACACTTACGTTGTTGTGGAAAGCAGCATAGTGCGTCACGATGCTATTAAGGACGTGCTACGTAGTCCTTCTGACTTTGGCGCCATCTTTTGATAATTACTTACTGTTGAGGAGAGCAATACAGTACGTCACGGTATTGGGGAAGAAATGCAGGCAGAAAATATCTTAGGAAAAGCTTGAATTTCCTGCAAATAGCAGTGCTGATGTATGTGTCCATGAGATTGAATATAATTTTATGTCACAAATAAGAGCTACCATCCTTTAGAACCTGTTTTAAAGAATCGTCCATATTGCTGAGTTTATTGTTGAAATTAGCATCCACTTTCCTGAATCTGGTTAAATTAACACGTTACAACCTGTCTAGACATTAGTCGTGAAATCGACCACCAATATCTTTTCAAATATTTTCGAATGATTAATGAATTACTGATCAGTTTTGTGAAAGAGTTCATGGCAGCACGCATTCAGAATTTTAGGAGACTTTAAATATCTGAACAAAAAACTTTGATAAATTGTTCCCCATCTTTGAGGCTTCATGGTGGACCCTCAGTGATAGAAAATGAGCCACCTGGACCTCCATATATAAGACTGGGTTTCCTTTGTCTCCTTGAAACTATTGGAAAGATATATGATAGTTATTTATGAAAGGTGTGTTTATTTCTTAATTACTACAGGTTGTTATGAATAGGTATTAAGACTTACATAAAATATTTAGAGAAGTACAGTAGATAGAAATTACTTCCAGCATAACAATATTATGCTAGGTAATCATCAACTACATCACCGGGAATACAGGATATAATGCAAGAAGCCTACTCATTACAATGACAATATTTTATTTATGCTATCAAACTGCCATCCACATTGTTAGCGTGCGAGGGACCAAATAATTCTAGTACAATGGTAATTTACTGATAATATATGTAATTTTTTTTAAGTAATCTTGCAGAAGAGTTGTACATATTCTACTCTTCATACATGTTGGAAAAACAACGTTGAACTTACATCAATACATAAGTTACAATTTACTGTGACATAATATGTGTTTATGTGATAGGATGACACACACATGCTCCAGTGAGTCGTGCTATGATATCAAGCTAATTAACTAACTCAGGAATTGGAACATTTTGCACCACTGAGAGTGTGGTGATGGGGAATTGTTTGTCTGTGGGAGCAAGCTCTGTGTTCCCCCCATGGTCATCACTGTGTTCATCTACTCACTGCCCACGGTCATTACTATTCATCTACCCACTGCCCATGGTCACTACTGTGTTCATCTACCCACTGCCTACGGTCATTACTGTGTTCATCTACCCACTGCCCCACTGTCATTACTATGTTCATCTACCCACTGCCCCACGGTCATCAATGTGTTCATCTACCCACTGCCCCACGGTCATTACTGTGTTCATCTACCCACTGCCCCACGATCATTACTGTGTTCATCTACCCACTGCCCCACTGTCATTACTGTGTTCATCTACCCACTGCCCCATGGTCATCAATGTGTTCATCTACCCACTGCTCCATGGTCATCAATGTGTTCATCTACCCACTGCCCCACGGTCATTACTGTGTTCATCTACCCACTGCCCCACTGTCATTACTGTGTTCATCTACCCACTGCCCCATGGTCATCACTGTGTTCATCTACCCACTGCCCCACGGTCATCACTGTGTTCATCTACCCACTGCCCCACTGTCATTACTGTGTTCATCTACCCACTGCCCCATGGTCATCAATGTGTTCATCTACCTACTGCTCCATGGTCATCAATGTGTTCATCTACCCACTGCCCCACGGTCATCAATGTGTTCATCTACCCACTGCCCACGGTCATCACTGTGTTCATCTACTCACTGCCCCACGGTCATTACTGTGTTCATCTACCCACTGCCCCACGGTCATCACTGTGTTCATCTACCCACTGCCCCACGGTCATCACTGTGTTCATCTACCCACTGCCCCACGGTCATTACTGTGTTCATCTACCCACTGCCCCACGGTCATTACTGTGTTCATCTACCCACTGCCCCACGGTCATTACTGTATTCATCTACCCACTGCCCCATGGTAGTTACATATTATCCTACACTGTTACATTTCAAATCACGATGTCCAAAATATTCCATGTTTTCTATAGTTAAGTCTTTCTTTCGTTCTATTATAATTTTATTAGAGGACTTCTCTTAGAAAAAGTAGTTTAAAATGAATTCTATATACGATGAAAATACATGAATAATGTAGCTTCAATGATGATACATTTTGTGGCCATTACTTCCAGAAACTTTTCTGTATCATACCAGAAGTAATGACACGAACCAATCGCTAATAAGTGAACTTAGATTTTTAATATATTGAATATTTTATTATGTAGATAGTCAGGTGAGATTTTTGGCTCACTTTGGTCACATTAGAGTGTAGAGCAGTGTTGCTATTGTTAATGGTTATACAGCCTAGTACAGGAGCGGGAGACAGCTAGCTTGGCTTCACTTTCCGGAGTTCAAACACATTATCACTGCCATCTTAGTCTAGAGATTACACTTTTGTTATCGCTGTTGAGATTATATGGTTTTTATATAATTAAGGCGTGTAGGATCGTCTGCTATATCATTTATTTTTGTACTTTCAAGACAGAGCTGTGTCTCGACAGTACTGAGCGTTTAGTAATAATTACAGAAAGTCGTTACAAAAACATGAAAGTTATGCAAGGCAACATGATAACCAATGGCTTCCATGTTATGCTCAGCTATAGAGCTCTACAGTTGGACAATGAGAGCCTTCGAAGCTCTGTGTTTAACTCTGTGTACCTGAAAATTCACCAGTAACGAGACCTAATCTTTCAAAGGCCATATAATGTTTATACACAGCTAGAGACCGCCAACAACTAAATAATCGACAGATACAAACGACAATAGAAGTATAGACAATGCGGAAGCACTATATATATTAAATTATAATTATTAATATATCTTATCCATCAACAGCCAGCTTACAATTAAATATGTACTATTATCCTCAAGGCTGAACTATACCACCAGCAGACAAGCAGACAGACATTCTACTTTATAGGAATAGATTTTTGTTAATGTGGGTGTGTATATATATTCACTTATTTATATGATTAATCCTTCTAGTGAACCGGTAAATGTGAGGTGGTCAAGTCTGCCGTTATTATCAGTTCATACTGAAACAACAGATGGGTGAGTGAGTCAGTGACCCATCAGTGATGAAGACACCACACACACCCAACCCATGAATGTATTCATCACCCAGCCACACACATGACAGCCTCCATACAGGTACAGATGCAGTTAGTCACTGTACACAGGTGTCATGTTGAATTAAGGTCAACATTCTGTACTTCAAATGCGTCTACAAATGACTTAAAAAATGATGAAATGCCTGGATACAATTTTGTATAATCATGTCCCCCATGTGATCAATATTGTTGTTGTTATTGATACATTTTTTAACATTTGTGTATATGCCATTTTCTTAAAGTGTTAATGTTACCGAGCATGTTTTTAACCCCCTAGTGTGTTGCATGAGGGGAATAACCTTCCCCTAATAACTATTGTGAGCGATTCTGCAGTTCAGTCACAATATGAGAGGGGGTGTGGGCATGACGTCACCATCTGAGAGAGAGTAAAACATTATCATCAGACAGGTGGGATTGGCATCAATATGACACAGATCGGCATGACATCAATGAAACAGATGGCTATGGCATCACTATGAGGCAGATGGGTATGCCATCAATATGAGACAGACGGGTATGGCATCAATGTGAGACATATGGATGTCATATTAATATGAAACAGAAGGGGTAAGACATCAATATCACAGGTAAGTATGACATCAACATGAGACAGATTGGTATGACATCAACATGAGACAGATTAGTATAACATCAATATGAGACAGGAATACAAAGGACTTCAGACAAGTTGGTATATCATCAATATGAGACAGAATGGTATCACATCAACATTAATACCTGTATAAGACAGAATGGTATCACATCAACATTAATACCTGTATAAGACAGAATGGTGTCACATCAATGCGAGATAGATGCGTATGACATCAATATGAGACAAATGTATGTCATCAGCATGAGACAGATGAGTATGACATCAATTTGAGATAGATGTACTAAAATAAAAGAATATGCAGAAGACATATTGACCCATGATTGGCAGCTACGTCAGAGTGGAGGTGATGGTGTCAGAGAAGAAAGGGTGACTTCAGAAGTGGTCGCGGACAAGGTCACAGACAATTAAGTATCATATGAGGTCCTTAACATGTGGTTGATGCTATGATCCTGCAGTGTTGCCAAGTCGAAGGCGCCGCGCGCTGCTATTTTGTTCCAGAAATTTTAAATTGACCTCGAGTCAAGTTAAGATTAAAATATAATCTCGCCTTCTCATGTCTGTGTACAACTTGAATTATATAAAGTTTAACCTAATTAATGTAACTAAAATTAAACAATTATAAACTAATGAAGTGCAATAACCTAGAAAAAATGAAAAGCAGTCATCGGTGAATAAATCAGTTAGTGCAAAGATGATCTCGTATTAATTCCTTTAACGTGTATGTGTGCCAAATTGCCATACTTTATTATAATAAGTGACATTAAATTCGTTAAAATTACTCAAGTTTATTTTAATAAATGAGAACTTTTTATCTGTTTTCTTTCTCTGGTTCCTCTTGTGAAGACATCCCCCTGTGAACACCTCTAATTTTCTCCGGAATTCCCGCCAAATTGTTTAAAAATCAGGTACCCATTCACTGCTGGGTGAACAAAGGCTACATTTAATGACTGGTGCCAAGTAAATCCTCCCCGGCCAGGATACGAACCCAGGATAAAGCACACGCGAAACGCCAGGCGAGTGTGTTACCACTTTGCCAAGGGAACTAATCAACTCTCATGTTGAGGGCCTCAGGGCTAACAAGACATTAAACCAGACATGACAAGGCTGATCTTGTCGTAACTTAAAATACTGAACAGTTTGGAAGATATTGTAAATAAAAAATAAATAAATAAATATTAATCGAGACCACTACTTCAAAAGATCAGATGTAATACAGAGAAGCAACAGCTTCAAGCTCAACAAGCCACAATGTAGGAATGAATACAAAAGATACTCTTTTTACCTATAGGGTTATAAACCTATGGAACCGCCTACCTGCAAATGCTAAAACATTGCTGCAATTAAAAACCCAGCTCGCTAAAATCATCAGGACAAATGGGGGGACCTTTGACAAGCCACCGGCTTCCTATCCTCGTCGAGGCCACTAGTGAGATGATAATCAGGTAAATTCAGGTTAATCCATTAATTCTGAGTACGATTTCTCTACTCCATATGTACTCTGTAATCCTTTATATAGCCGGTAGTACAGTCTGATTCGTTCTCGACTCACAATTGATATAATTCCAGATTAGATTTTTTGTTTGTATTAAAAAGTTTAGGTATATACAGCAGTGTGCTGCTACCCTATTATATATGAAAGATTACAGTGTAGACCAAATACTAGTCATAAGTTCATCTAATATCCCCATCTCACAGGATGGTTAGTCATACATAGAATCAGGAGGGAACATGAAATGTAAGGCCTCCACTAGCACAGGGTACAGCAAAAGAATATCTTTCAATATTTCTGAGTGTATGAAGTAATTACTGAGCTCAAAGTACCTCATACCAATTCGTCTGAAATCACTGATAACAGGGCAATCAGAGATATGGTGTTGGAGAGTATGTCCTAACTCTTGTTCACATAGTTTACATTTGGAATGTTTACCATAGGGCGATTCATTACCTGCAGCCACCTGCCATTAGATGTCGATATCCCGGCCAGCCTTATTCTAGCAATTACAATGTCACACTGTCTAGTGGATGCTTATGCTGCCCGTACATATAATTATCGGTTCTAAACATGTCATTACTCTTTATACTCGTGCTTTTTGGCCTTTCCTGAGCATGACAGAAATGGTTGGGTGCGTTTCCTATCATCTAATGTCCCTGTCCACCTAGCAGTAAATATAGGTTCCTAAAAGTTAGTCGGTAATTCGACCCGGGGGATGGGGCCTCGAAAAAAGCCTACCATGTTCTTTATGTATAAACTGGCTGCCTGTTCACCCAACACAATGAATTATAAATTATTATAAAAAAAATCTTCGCCCGTTTATTGCGTTTACCGAAGGTGTTTTGTTCTAATCCTAACGAGCATAAATAATATAATGAGTTCTCAAAATATGACTCATTTGTGCTCAAGATCACCGAATACCTTTACAATATATGCATTGATCCATATAAATCCGATATGCTAGATATCAAACTGGATACTAAAACGTGACTGTGGATTTAAGAGTCCAGAGAGGAGTATATGAGGCTAGGCTCGTAGTGGGCAGCTTCCTCCTCGTTCACTTGTAAACATGTCGGCGGCGCGAGGCAAGAGGGAGGCCGAGACGGGCCGCTGTGTCATCAATGTGGTGCAGCTCGAAGGCTTGGTGAGTGTGCTGATAAAAAGGGCAAAGGGCCGTGAGCATGTAAGGCATCAGGGAAACTCGGGGAATTGTGAATCTGAATTTGAAAATCACATTCATTTTTGGTGCATGGAACAGATGATGTGCGCGGTCTTGCCGCTGTACCATCATCCTTGTAGGAAACAGTCATGCTTGTGGACGATACTTTTGGTGCTGTTGTTCTTGTGTATAGAGTTTGTCAGAATGTTAGAATATCCTCCCGGGTTCGATTTCCCGGTAATTTTGTTTTAATTTCAGCATCCTATGACAATCCTGCAACCCATCCGAATATTAGTGCCTGCAGATACTGTGGATAGAATGTACAAAATATAAACTGTTCCCCAAAAAGGTCCATCTTTTGTACTCTTGGAATTCTATACAAATAAAAAATGGTATGAACTTAACTCTAAACCTAAAATGTCCTAGGCATAAATAAGCAATTGTAGGCCTAACATGCAATCATTCAACTAATTTAGTACATATATTTATGGTACTTGGTCTAGGAAAGAGTTAGGTTGTATTTTTGGGCCATCTGCAAAATTAAAAAGTACAAAATTTAGATTTTTTGTGCAATAACTTTTATCATGTTTTTAATTATTAATAATATTGTATGTTACATCCTGTGAGAGGTAGTGAAAAGTTTAGAGAGGCTCAGGAACTAAGCCCTAATTTTTTTTAGCCGAGCAAGTTACAGCATTGATGAATTAGTTACAGCATTAATATATTGTACAGGTGCTGCCTCACTGGGGCTTATTGGCGGCTCCTTCGCTTCTGTTCCCAAACATCATATTCCTTTTGCTCTCTTCCTTTTCTTTCACCTGACCTACCTTGATGCTGCCCTCCAACTTATCCTACACTAACCTGTTTTAGCATGAAAATTATTTGTTTTGGAATTTGAAATAGCTCATCCTATTCACTGTAAGTGAACATTGCATGGAAGACACACTGACACCAATAGATTCAAAGGTTTGGTAGAAAATAGCCAGTACAAGACAGTCATTTGCTTGGCTAAACAAACAAATTGGGGATCATTCGTCTAGTATCGTATCTAGAGATGAATGTTAACCCCTCTCGTATCTGCAACAAGATTTAGAATGTTGTAGGCAAATTCATCCCTGACATAGCAATAGGGTGGCCATTTCCAGTCACCAATGAAGGAGGACATAGCTGGTACATGTGTGTGTATACATGGAATGCATTAGGGGGTGATGTGGTGGAGGCTGGCTCCATACACAGTTTCAAGTGTAGATATGATAGAGCCCGATAGGCTCAGGAATCTGTACACCTGTTGATTGACGGTTGAGAGGCGGGACCAAAGAGCCAGAGCTCAACCCCCGCAAACACAACTAGGTGAGTACATATGTATGTATAGGTATGTATATTAATTTATGTATTGGCTGTCCTTCTTTTTGGGGTTTGGAAATGGCCACCCTATGTAGCACCCATTCATCATCTTTGGTTATTGCTGAATTACTGTTGGTCACAAATGAGCTCGGTGCATGCTTCTCGGCTATTAACATCAGTTCTTCCCTCGTCCCTGACTGCCTTACTCCTATACTGTAAATCCTGTGCTGAATCTTGCCCTTTGGACTTTTGCACGTGACTTTGGTATTTTGACACAAATAATTCGCATTTTCTTTTTTTCTAGGCTTTGATGAAAATCATCAAACACTGCCACGAGGAAGGTGCAGGCAACACTGATGTTGCACAAGGTGTATTGCTAGGCCTAGTGGTTGATGAAAGGTTGGAGATCACCAACTGCTTCCCTTTCCCACGGCATGCTGATGATGTCGATGAAGGCAAGTGCATGTAAAATATTAGGAAAGATTACTTTAAAAATAGCTTTGGGTATCTTGAGTTAATTGACCATAATAGGATCTCAAAACTGTACAGACAGTTGTCAGATTACCAGCAACTTTAAACCTTGTTTAAGTATGATTATTTTTATATTTTTTTGCAGAGGATTATCAGCTTGAAATGATGCGTCACCTGAGGAAGGTTAATGTGGATCACCTGAGTGTAGGCTGGTACCAGAGTACACAGCTGGGTAACTTCATCACAACACAACTTCTAGAGTCACAGTTCTCATATCAAACCAGCATTGAGGAGTCTGTTGTCTTAATATATGGTTAGTGATCTCAAATGTTTATTCATGATTTACAGGTCTTATCTTCCCTTACCTGAGGAGAATCGGGGTATTTATAGTAAAGGTGCAGTCGGTCCATTATTAGACAGAAATCATGTTGGGTATAAGCCATTTCAAAGTACAATAGTTCAGTTTTTATACTCTCAAGATAAGTGTTTTTTTTATGAGGCTGAATCTAACTATCTTTAATCAAAGTGTTTTGAAATTTGGTGGTAGGTCAAAAACAATATGGCAGGGTGGTTCCAATTCAAGTCTGTAATGAGGTTGAATGCAGTGGGTATTTGTTGTCATTCTTGGTAAGAATACTATATAGTTTTTAAATGTTTGTTCTTTTCCAAATCTTTATATTTGTCATTCTCTAAATTTCCATTACAACCTTACTATTTATACATAATTCTAAAATGGTTTCCTTCAGTATTAGGCAATGTTTCTTAATGATGTCCATCTCTCTTTCTTTTGTGAATACTGTATCTTTTAAAATACCTGATTGCATTGACTTTAAATTAACCGCATACATAAGATCATAACGAGTGTGAGAGAAATATTGTCTTGCCTTATTGACTTGACATTTACATCAATTTTGACCATAAAATAAGAGGTTTGCATATACAGTAGTTATATAATAGTCAAACATAAAAAAAAATCTGAAATGATTAGAGTGAAGCTCAATGCACGTTTTTGATATTTGAGGCTTTTGGCTACCTGGTATAATCCTACACCATAGTGGTAATCTCACTGTTAACGAGACAGTAGCGTCATCAGTTACCTGTAGCAGTAAAGTCTGGTTTTTAATTTGATTATTCAATATCAAGACATCTTTTTCAAATTAATTTTAGTCATGTTTCAGTGTAGAGTTTATTTTAATACAGTATTTTGTTTAAAGTATTGTATCCAAAATGTTATCTGCTAGGTAATGTTTTCCTTATTGTGTTGCCCAAGTAAACCTATCCGTACTGTCTCACTTTAACCTTAAAGTTATCATATGATGATTTGTCAGTGAATGCTGCTATTGGATTTGTTTTGTCAATTGTTTTAATGCCGATGATGCCCATAGTGCTCATATAGCTTCGAAGTGGTGTCTCGGCAGTTATGGGAGGTCTTAAAAAACTAATTTAGAATTGAACTTCAAATCCTTGTTTCATGTACTGTAATCATATGATCATTGTACTACTGTACTTGCCTAGGATAATGACAAGATGTTTACTGTATATATATATTTTGGTATTTTTTGCATAAAATTTCATTTTATGCAAAAAGTTAAATTTTTGTATAAAAATAAACCAAGAATTTGTTCAACTTGGCTTCAATCAGAACATAATGCTACGAATGTAAGAAATAATGCTGACCACTGCTCAGGCTACATAGATTTTTTTTTTTTGATAATCTTCCATTTCATCAATCAATATAAGGAACCTGAGAAGAGCCAAAAGTTTGTGTTGATATGAACAGAAATGCCCGAGGCATGCTTGGAACCAGCCTGACTTGGCCATAACGTCTCACAATCTTTCTTTATATTCACAACAGTATCTGGATTTTATACTGTTCATTCACCATTATGGGTGCATTAATGAGTATTGTTAAATATACACTGCATGATGTATAAAAAACCACATTAAAAAATAAGAAATTGCTGAATGCATTTTTTGGTTTTCATTTCAACTGAAGGCCTAAGTTGGTGAGTGCATTGTGGCAATATGTAAAACTCCTGATTGTGCTTCAGTGGAAGCCTTGGGACCCCTAGAGAATTCAGTTGAATTTCGGGTTGCATTGCTTTTGACCGGTGTAGCAGTCTATGACGTGGACTTGGGAATACCCAGTGTGTGGGTTCGAATCCTCCTCATGACTCCTACTGATTTTCTTAAATGAAATACTATATTTGAAGACTTAAGAGCACTGACTAATTATAGGCTTAGTTTTATGCAGTGTTATAGGCTTAGTTTTATGCAGTGTTATAGGTTTTAATTTTGTCAGTAAATGGCTGATTTTATCAAGGACTTTCTGTGGTAGATGACTTGGATGTGGCTCAGCAGTTAGATGACTTAAATGTGGACCACCAGCAATCATACAGACTGACCTATTACCAGAATATAACTTTTTGTCTTTTTATTTCAGATCCTATCAAAACGGCAAGAGGATTTTTGTCCATCAAAGCTTACCGCCTCACCCCAGAAGCCATTAATACAGTTCAGGAGCGTGACTATACCCCTGAGGCTCTCAAAAAGATGCGTCTTGGCTATGAGTCTCTGTTTCAAGAAATTCGTTTAGTAATCAAGAACTCGCATTTGGTCAATACACTTCTGTGTGAACTTTATGAGGTTTGTTTGGACTTTATAGCAAAATAATATTACTGTTCAAATTCCTTTAATTTTACCTTTCATGTTTATTACCACTTGCAGATACTAAAATATCTGGTTAATCCTTAAATGAGAGCTCATGTTAATTCATATTTTCCATTATATAAATTGTATAAGTTCTGCCTAAAAGTCCCTATAATTAACAAAATTGTATACTTCTTTGGCTACTATTACTTATATGTAAAACAACAAGGTTTGTCTTTTTAATAAGTTATTAATTAGAACACTCTTTGGAAAATGTTGTATCGTCGATCTCAAAAGTAAAGCATAATACTGTATTTTGTCACCAAAATTTATTAATATTTACAAAAAAAAAATTCTATGATTCTAGCTTATGCCCAGCAGTGAAGGAAAGCAGTTCTTGGATCTTGGTACTATGTCAACCTTAGACCGTCAGTTGAGATGTCTTATGGAGTATGTAGATGATCTCAGTCAAGAAGCCAACAAGTTTAACAATTATCAGCGCCAAAATGCCAAACAATTACAAGATAAACACAAGTTCATGCAGAAAAGGGTAAGACTCATAACATTCTTTTATTCAAACTGTTCATTTATTCCTTGGGATTGATTATTTTCTTGCTAAATTTTGTGTTGTATATATCATAAGCCTTGTTTTCTTGCACAGCTATAATCCCTAGCAAATATTATTAGTTCCACATTATTTCTTGCATGTAACTCCACTTACACATATCCACATAATTCTCATTGGCTTGCAAGAGAAAGGGTTTACTTACTGTACGCTGCCTCAATTTGGTAGTCAATGTTCATTCTTTCATTTGCATGCATGCTCACAAACTGGTGCAGATGTTTGTATATACGGATGCATGTATTCTTTTACATTTAATGTTGGTTCAAGTTACAAACATCCACCTGTTTCAAATCTCCTTTGCTGACTTTATCATTATCATCTTCACTTTTCTGTATTATTGTCTTTGATTTTTTAAATATTTCAGAGCTGCCTATACTTCATATATCTGGACCAAAAAGTCTTATAACTTTTCCTTTCTCTTTTCTTATATTTTATGAGCTTGCATTCTGCCACTCTCAGGAATATGCTCATTGGATCGCTAGATAAACAGATTTTTTTAAGCATGATGCCCCATGGTCTGTAGATAGTAGTAAACCAAGTAAACTTGCCCCAAGACATTCACAAAACCAGTTCCTGAAGCATCATTGACGTGGACTATGACAGCCAGTTGTAGGCTCTTACTAACCTAACAGCCAATTTATTAAAAAAAAATATTTGGGCTTCTGGTGAAGGCCTCCTCTTGAGAGCTGGAGAACGCAAATTTTCAAAATATGCTTTTGAGCTTACAGTATATGAAAGTCAGGATCTCGGTTGTGTTGGTGCTCACCCAAGAGTTGCTTCCTTGAAACTAGTGTATTATTGGTTAGTAACCAAGTAATGTTGGCTGTTATGGCTCATGACATCAGCAGAGCTCTGAATCACCTTATGCAATTGAACAGACATTTCAGGTTAAGGCAAGTCTGGCTGGATTGATTTTATTTACAGTGATTTGCAAACCCAATAAAGTGGTTCTGTATCACCGGTACTTAAAATAAACTGCCAAACTATCCAGTGATCCTTCAGTATTACTGTACTGTAATACTGTTGGATCATATACCTTTGAGAATGACAGAATAGCTTGCTCAAAATGCTTTTTTTGTGTGTTTGTGTTCATTCAGTATCACAGAACATTCCTTAATAAAATGATTGCATAATTTTAATAAACAAATTTTATCTTTTCACAGGCTGCTGAGAATGCTCAACGACAAACTCGTGGTGAGCCAGCTTTGCCTGATGAAGATATTAGCAAACAGTTCAAGCCCATTGCTCCCTTGCCACGTCTAGATGCAATGATCACCTCGGGCCAGATATCAAATTACTGTAAGCAGATATCTCAATTCTGCAGTCAGTCTCTGGGCAAGCTCTATGTTGCAAAGGCTCTTCAGCAAGAAAAGAAATAGACTATATAATAAAGGGCATAGTTAAGAAAATTTTGAGAGTACAGTACTATCAATCCAACTTGATAATATCATGATTTATAAATTGTCATGTTCATTTCTAACCTATGTGGAACTGTGATTTGGAATATTAAATTTTATCTAAATGTATCTACATTAAAATTTTTGCTAATACAGTACATTCAATTTAAAGATTTAAATCTTTTGTTTTTAAACCCTAAAATGTAAGCATTTATTGAAAGAAACTGGTGAAATTTGGAACTCGCTCCAACTGGCCCCTTACTGAAAATAATACTCTTATATAAGTGATCGAGACAAAAACATTTATTTTGTCTATTCTAAAATTTTTTTTTTTTTTTTTTTTTTTTTTTTTTTTAATTCAGAATGAGACACTAATGGAATCACTTAATTTATCATTAACTTGATACTTTGCTCGTCTTATTGATGATTGCAGTAGTAGTGTATTGTTCATTTCTGATATATCTTTGGGGGTATAGTACTATCAATCCAAATTTGTATATATTCTAGTTTTTACTTTAATTACAAAATTAAGATTTGTCATTAGCATATTTACCACTTACATTGTGTGGGAAGGTATCAGCTTTGAGAATGAGTATACGAATAGAAGGTTACAAATTAAAAAAAAAACTAATTTGGCATATTTTATACACTATATAGCATGGAGAATTAACACCACTTCAGTAAATCATCTTTTTGCAGCACCCTTACAATAAGCAAAAGTTGGAAATATGAGGAAAGGCTTCTAAACTTGTCAGGTGGCATACACTGAAAGTAAGTGGAAGACGCCTCTATCCACAATTTCAAGAGGACACGCAACTGCTGTCACATTAGGCAAGCACTTTATAAGATGAGTGCTCAGACGTCCTCATACGTTATGTATTGCACAAACAAAACACTACTTCCACACAATCTTGTTTCCTTCCTGTCTGAGGTGCTGTTCGTACTTGGTCTCCAATTTCTTTCATGTTCACCATATCTGCCCATCTGTCTTCCTCTTCCCTTACTCTCAAATTCACTTCTCTTCCATGTTCATCATTCTAAGTGCCAATAACCTCACAATGAGTGCCAGAGAAATTGTCAATTGATCCCATTATCCATTCATTCAACATGACTGAATCATTTTAGTACTTTTGTTAATATTGATGCAGCATCAGTATTAATAGTTTATCTATTTACATTTGCACTCCACATCTCCGTAATGTTATCAAAATGCAAATGGCACCATGCTTTTCAGCAAAGGCAAAGGGCACCCTCTGGTGAAGAGGTTAGCTATTACTTCTTGCAAGCAAGAAGTAATAGCAATTGGGTTTGATTCTTGGGTAGGGTTGAATAATTGGGCATTGTTTCTTCATTATTACCCATGACCCCCAGCACAGGTATGTAGCAAGCACATACCCTTACTGCAAGTAGTCTACTCTCCATGTGTGTCGCCTATCAGATAGGCAGTGTCTCGCATAATTATGCTTGTGGAAGTCGGGAGTGTGTGCACGCGTGCACATAATAAATCAAAATCGGGTATGGTTTTTAGAAAGAACATGCCAGCCTTGCCTAGTTTGCAAGTACGGTATTGGCTTATTAAATAGGCAGAGTTTTTCAGATTTTATGCTTTGGCAAAAGTTGGCGAATATCACAGTACAGAAATTTTATTGATGGCCTGAGATAATAAAAAAAAAATTATATAATATAAAAATATATATATATATATATATATATATATATATATATATATATATATATATATATATATATATATATATATATATATATATATATATATATATATATATATATATATATATATATATATATATATATATATATATATATATATATATATATATATATATATATATATATATATATATATATATATATATATATATATATATATATATTATATAATAATAATAATAATAATAATATGCGTGCCAAATTTTACTTACCTTAGGAATAAGTTTTTTTGGGGGGAGGTGGTAAGGTAGAGCTATTATGCACAATTAAATCTCATGAATATGTATTGAGAATATATCAAGGCCTTTGCTTGACATTAGTACTTTTTCAGTTATTGTTTTTGTATATTGAAAGTGCCCATTAAATTTTATTTATTTATTTAAAACTAAAAGAAAAATATGGTAATGAAAAATGTCATTTTATAAACCATGCTCTCACAAAATTTGAGCTTTTTTTTTAGATTATTTACAAACTTAGAGAAAATAGGTGCTGTGGGCTCCCCTTTATTTTGATGGGCCACTGCGTGAATATCAGTTATACCAAAAGTTAAACATGACGAGATTTACACTTTGGACGTATTTTTATATTTATTGCTCAACAACTTTGGTGCATATTAATGAAAAAGATCAACACGAGACCTCATATTAGATGTACCTGTAATTTGACCACCTATTTATGTGTGTGGTCATTATCAGATGTAAACATCCTCTGAAAGTGATCAACAGAGAAGGTCATGTTAAGACATTTATATTTGCCAACAGCTTTCCTGGTGCCTGACAAACAAATTGATTTGGAGTGTGTGTGTGTGTGTGTAAAGAAAAGGAAATGATATAAGGTTCATCTCTAGTGATAACTCGTTGTCTTGTATAGCCATGCCGCAATTTTTAAGGTTAGTACAGTATTATTATTTACCGACGTCACTTATGCTTGCCGTTAAACATTTACGTAATTTGTTACTTTATATCCTTTATTTTATACCATCCTTGACTATGAATTTAAAGATGTGTTGGCTGCAGATACCTCAGAACACTGATGATTGTAAATTAATAAATGATGAATTTAAAATTTAGCCCATCAGCCTTTTGTTTTGTTGGTGGGCTGAATGACTTTGTGGTAGAGTCTGTAATGTGTGTGGATTGATTCTACAGTTCATGGGTTTATTTTCATCACCTCAATTTTAAATACTGTGTATAATTTAATGCTTCAGACATTTATTTAAGATGACAATGACCCTCCCCCCAAAATGGGAAAATGTTCACCCTTTGTGTTGCATGATAAGGCAAGGACAATTCAAAAAAATACTGAATGATGTGAATACCTGTGCTTGGCTTTGTCCCATCTATTTAGCACTAATCATGCGTTCATCTAAAGTCCTGCAAGATAGCATAGTGGCACAAGCATGTTCCACAGATATTGTCCATACTAATATTTTATTGCACATAATAATTTTCTTGTTTGAATTAAAAGCCTTAGTGATAAAAATTTGGATTTAAAGAACAAATTTAGTTCAAACAGTGTCTTACTGTTGTTCATCACATGTATGTTCATATAGCAGGATAACCTTGATGCCAGAGTTTCCTGCCACCAAGTATTCAAAGCGTAAAATATATACATTACAACATCAAAAGCAAACAATATCTAGATGTCTTTGTCAGTGTTTCACATACTGGAGGTGAGATATTAGACCTCACCTTGTGGTATTTATCAAGAGGGTAGGCTCTGTTGTCTGTTTGAAGAGAGCAGTCTGTTGCGGCCATGTGTGTTGGAGGGTGGTAGGTCGTCCTCCAGGTAATGTCTGAGGGCAGGGGGCAGTGGTAAGGTGTAGAGGAGTTGTGGCTGTGGTAGGGCAGATAGGAGGGCATGCCGGGCTCGGTCTTGCAGGCCAGTCCACCCTCGCTTGGTGGCACCCAGAGTAAGTTTAGTCTTGGCAGCAGTGGATGCGATGACAGGATAGAGGGGTTCAGTAATGGTGTCGAGACCAGTAAAGGCTATACCCAGCCACCGAGTATCCTTATAAAATCCCAAAGTGCCTTGCACACCATCAAACAATACACCGATGGTAGTGGAGCAGTTTTCTTGGAAGGGTTCAGTGTAGTGATGCCCCTTCCCTTTATGCCAGATCAATCCTTTGTGCGAAAGTCCCCACCCAAACTGGTCTTCCCCCACCAGGCTGACAAAGCTATTGGCATGCAACCGTGCAGACTCTGTGCACACCCCAAACATCACGGCAGTGCCAAAGAGTCTCTGAGAAACCTGCACTTCCCAGTAGTGAAGTCCACCATTAAGCTGTTGTGAGCCTCTCACTGCTGCTGTGCCATGTGACCAGTTGGGATGGAAAAGAGCAGTTCGTGCATATAGGAGGACTTCTGGGCTCTTGTGTAACTGGCTCCAGAGCCACCAGGCATCACAGCCGTGTTCCAGCGGATAGGGAGACGAGTCATCTTGGTGAGCATCATTTGGGAGTGCCTCTGGTATTGCTTTGTTGTCATGATCACCCTGTGTCATGGCAGCGAGGCTTCACTGCATCACATCTGTGGGTAGGAGGTACTACTGTATATTAAAACTGACCATTTTGAACACAACATAATTATTTATATAAGTTATTCTTTTTATATTATCATTGTGGTCTAGTGCTACACCAGTATCACTATAGAAATAATGTGCAGCGGTTCGTAGATCATACCAGCGTGGGTTGAGGGTTACAACACATATAATGAAGTTACACACACTACTTATATTAATTATGAATGAAAAACTGTTTACACACGACTCACAACTGATGACGTTCGAACACTTCTGGAACAAGTGCTTCACTGACGAATTTTGTTCGAATCACAGCACTGTAAATGCTTCACCCACGTACTACAAATACAAATACAGTAATCCCCAACAGAACCTAAATGCCTAAACTAACCTATGCCTATATATGCACAATATGCTAATATATTATAATATTAATTTATATTTGAGAAAATTCCTGTTTTGAATGAACAGCATGTATAAATTTATGAATGCATTTGTGGGGTCGACCACTAGATGAAATGAACTGAAATGAAATGAGTCGAGGACAGGTTGACAGTATCACGTTATTGTGATTTGTGTGTGTAATAATAATAATAATAAATAGAAGTGCTCAAGAGGCGAGTTAGAATACTAAAATAAGAATGGCAATGAGGAAGATGTGAATGTCTCACCATATAAAGAGTACACTGCAGAATAGGCTGCTTACATTAACCTACTGGAGATCACAAACAAGATGAGGTTGGGTCATCATGTAAGCCATCAGTTGGATCAGGACGGTGAACTTTTATTTAAGATATCTGGCAAATCATTTGAATCAATAGGGCATTTTATGCTATCTAAAGACACATTTGATTCCTGAATTTACCTGAGGGGCCACTATCTCTAGTGGCCTCGATGAGGACAGGAAGCCAGCAGCTTGTCAAGGCTCCCCTATTTGTCCTAGTGATTTTATTGAGCAGGATTTTTAAATTCAGCAGTGTTTTGGCATTTACAGCTTTGGCGGGTTGGTAATTCCATGTATTTATTACCCTATAGGTAAAAAAGCATCTGTTTTCTGTCTTGTATTGTGCCTTACTGAGCTTGAAGCTGTTGCTCCTTGTCTGTGTCACATCTGATCTTTTGAAGAAGTTGTCTAGATCAATGTCCTCCAAATTGTTCAGTATTTTAAAAGTTTCGATGAGATCAGCCCTGTCATGTCTGGTTTGCAGTGGTGTTAGTCCTGTGGCCCTCAACCATTCCTGGTATGAGAGTTGACTTAGTTCTAGAATGATTGTTGTTGCCTGGTATTGAATTTTCTCTAAAGCAGGTACATCTTTCTGAAGATTGTCTCTATGCTTCAATACAATAATACAAGTGGGGTGCACCAGAGATTTATACAGTTGAATAACTACCTTATTTTTCTTGCGCTTGACTATTCCAAGTTTTTGGTTAACTTTTTTTTTTACTTCAGATCCCACTTTTGCAACTTTTAGTGAATGTTGGAGACCTCCAGGGTACTTTTCTTCATCAATATGCTGTAAGTTAATGTTAATTTGGTAGTTCTGACTTGCAAGGTTTGATGTTAAAGACCATTTGCTAATCTTCTGATCATTTATAAGTTCATATAGATCTCTTTGTAAGGCCTTGATATCTTTTTCACTTTCCACTTTACTGTACATCTTAGTTTCATCTGCAAATTTGATGATGTGGTTTGTAATATTCTAATCCATATCATTGATGTATATAACAATAAGGGTTCGCCCCAAAATGGACCTCTGTGGTACACCATTCACCACATTTCCGCTTAGGACGACCCTTTATTTATTTTTTTGCTTTAACTATTGTTTTATTCATTCCAGTATTCCACCATTTATTCCATGAGCTTGTAATTTCCTTGCTCGTCTTTCATGGTGTACCTCATCAAAAGCTGAAGCAAAGTCCATGTATACTAAATCTACCGGAAGTCCTTTTTCTGAATAGCTCGTTACCATTTCCAAAAATGTGACCAGGTTTGTACGGCAGGATCTATTTTTAATAATTTATCCAAGCCATGCTACGTTGATTTTATAGATAGTTCACTGAGATTGTGAATGCTTTTCTCCCTTAGCATTCTCTCCATGAGCTTGCAGATGTGTAAAGTCAAGCTGACCAGACAGTAGTTTTCTGCTATTCTCTATGCCTTTTTTTAAAATAAGGGTGACATTTGCATATTTCCAAGCTAGGGGAAACTATCCCTTGGTCCAGAGATTTTCTAAAAAGGAGTTTCAGTGGTAGGCATAGTTCATCTGCCAGTTCCTTTATGACTAGTATTTAATTATGTCTACACCTGGGGCTGTTAAGTATTTTAGTTTACCTCTGCCTTATCCTTACCTATGGCCACATGTTATGGGAATATTCTGAATATTCTTTAATTCGTTCTCTTCACCTCCAACATTTGTATGGGTAATGGGATGTTGTCTAATATCTCTAGTGTGAACACTAATGTAAAATATTCATTCAGAGTGTTTGCTGACTTTTATCATATAACTGTTAGTCTCATCTTTTAAGGCTCTGGACCATGAAATTTCTTGTATGAACCAACTTTGTTGTGGCTGGAGGGAAGAGGGCCATCTTACACAAATAATTGAAGAAGGAAAAAGAAGACTTGCAGGTTATGCAAAACATTTTAAGTTAGAAGACAAATTATCTACATCATGTCTATTACACATAATATGCATATTGTCCATATCTTTCTGTATATTTTCCCAATCACCCCCTGTCCACTAATCACTTCAGAATATTCAAGTCTCTGTTCACATAGTGATAAATATATGCCTGGGAGTTAGGCAACTGTTGCGGGATTGCACCCGAGAAATAGTCGGTTGTTTCAGGGGACCCTGATAAGATAACAGGGCTTCCTGTTCCCATTAATGAGAAAAAGGGAGCTTAAAAGTGATAATGCACAGAGGCAAGTGAGCTTTAAAGTAATGTGCGCATAGATGGGACTATAAACAAAGCAAACAAATTCAGGGAGTGAACACATAAGGTGACCCCAGATGTACTGCTACTCACAAAGCAAAAATGGAATGGTAACAAATCCCTTTTGACTAATATGTTGTAAGAAAACAGGAAGGAGCAGTGGCTGTGTTAGTCAGGAAAAGGGAGATTGAAGATGATAATCCTAGGATTGGATATATTTAGAGATAATGTAGTCACCATAACAATGTCAAGAAGACTTGAGATAATAGTGAATAATATACTGTACATTCTTTGACAAAACGACAGGTATGCAATATAACCAATAGGGCAGGTATTACAATCATAGAAAGGGCTACTTCAATTGCAAAGTTACAATTAATATCGATTATTGATCGCAGGAAACATTTTTGCAATATAAATTAGGAGAATGGACAACTACAAGGGCAGTGTCATTAGCAATTGTGGGGATTAATGAGAACCTTTAGGTAGTTACAATAGACTTTCTTGGAATGTGGATTAACTTGGGGATAATTTAAGTAACAGGCACATTAGAGATAATGTGGTTTGCTACACTGCTTTACTATCTATAAACATTACAGAGTCTAGAGCCTCCAGAGATATAACTACATAATATAATTTATTATCACCACCTTACTCTAGTAATGTTAATACAGTAATTGTGTTTACTCAAATTTTATCATTATATACCTGTCATTACTTTCATTTCTTGTTCAAGATTTATTGTTTCACCAAAACAATAAAAAATTGTTTTTGCCGAAATTGTCATTTGCTTAGCTAAACGAACTAGAGGGTTCAGTTCCTGAACCGATTATGTGCCTCTGTAATCCTTCACACCACCGCCCACGGGATGGGTATGGGGTGCATAATAAAGAAAGAAATTGAATTGCCGAAACGCTATTTATGCGTGTTACCGACTTTACAAGCTTGTACCACTTAATCATCAATATATGTACTTTCACAACCCATTGTAATCTTCTTGTGTGTGCATACACCCCCCTCCCCTTCCTCTTTTACCTACCTAACCTACACACAAATGGCATACCTTAACGGGCTATTCATGCCCATGCCACCTTTTGGGTGGCTTAATCTTTATCAATCGATCAGGGCATTCCTAGTTGCCCAAGGTAAATGATCGTTGCTATGGGACAAATTGGACGACAGATGCGCCTGGCTGTTACCAGATGGCAGCCCAGGCCACCCGAGGTCTTACACTTCCACCTATTGTTATTTGCCTAGGACCTGAAGACCCTCCTGGCCCTCTTATCTGCTTCACGGTATTCAGATAAGTGTTGCTGGCTTTCTCTGGAGCATTAGTTCCACCTAGGGGCCATTGCTTTGATTGTTTTTATTTCAACTTCATGATTGTGTTTATGCCACCTGGTTGCACTTCGTGTTGCAAAGCATTCAATTTTGCTCCAAACCTGAGTGCTTGAACTCCGAGGAAATAGTCATCTAGCGTCCAAGCAGTGCATGAGATTTATTCTTTCCATTGATGTTTGTTGATGGGGAGAAATCTTAAGAAAATGAAATATTCAGATATGTATACATCTGTGTATTCCCGACGCCGGCGAGAAACAAAATGGGCAGAGTTTCTTTCACCCCTGATGCCCCTGTTACCTAGCAGTAAATAGGTACGTGGGAGTTGGCTGTTATGGGCTGCTTCCTGGGTGTTTGGGAGGGTGGGGGGAGGAATTAGTTAGTAGTTAGTAACAGTTGACCGATTGACAGTTGAGAGGCGGGCCGAAAGAGTAGAGCTTAACCCCCGCAATCACAACTAGGTAAATACATGTTATTTTTACAGCCCGCCCTCAGGATCCTAGACGCATCTATCAATTTTAATGAATTGTTTGTTCTCACATATAAACTAACATTATTATTCTTAAAGTTCTATGCTTAGTTAGGCATAGGTTAGGTTAGGTGTTTAGGTTGTGTACACGATTATTTGTATTTTAAGTATGTGGATGAAGTATTTAGGGAGTTGTGTTTCGATCAGAGATCGTCAGCGAATCACTGTTTGAGAAATA